CAATTTCCTTACAGCAGTCGGGACAGAAGGAAAGAGCCAAATAAAGCAAGAGAATGAATGTGAGGAAGGACATGAACTATAAAAGAAAAACACCGAATCAGAGAAAGATAGCAGCTTTTCCAGTAACAATCTACTTTTTCCAACAAGCAGTGGAGCACAACAAAATTGATTTAGCAATGACTTTTTTTTTCCACTTTTACAATTGAGTTAATAATCAAATGGTTGGTTAAAAAGTCTCTCTCTTATATTGAGCTTTGGGAAGACCTGTTAATTTTAGTGAATCAGTTAATTCAGACGGTTCACTTAAAATTAATATTCTAATATTAATAACTATCGTTTAAAAAATAGATGCGTGATAGTGTAAATTGCGGAGCTCTGCACATGACGTGGAATAAATACTGTTCATTTGTTAGTACCTAATTTTTGTGAACATTGACATTAAATTGTAATCACATGGCTACTAATTTGTTCTCTGATTTCCATGTAGTTATTTCATGGCCACTAAATTTACCTCCATTTAATGAATCTAATAGCACAATGTGACCACTATTTAACTACACCGTAAAAAAAAAATATTGTTGGTTTAACTTAAAAAAATGAAGTAACCTGGTTGCTTAAAATTTTAAGTTCATTGAACTGGACAAATTGGATTAATACAATGAAGGAGATCGATTTAAGCATCAGAAACTCAAAATATGATGTTATCTGAACTACATAAATTATCTAAGGTTGATTTGACAAAAGAAAAAATGTGATTACAAATCATGAAAATATTTTTTTTACAGTGTAAAATGAGGGAAATAATATATTGTGGGAACTAATTCTTAATTCATGGCCATGATATCTTGATTTTCATGGTTTGTTTTTAAATGGTATTTAGTGTAAATTGAACTATTTATATACGGTCCATAATATAATAAAAAATTATATTGTTTAACTGTAACTCAGTTAGCTTGACAAACTCCAGTTTAAAAGAAGCTTCATTGTGTGAAAATGAGAGAGAGAGAGATCTACTTCTGGTGAAGAGGGTTAGAAGAGACAGGCAAGAGAGACGGATGCAGATGAGGCCGTGAGAGAAAGAGAAACCAGCATCATTCCCAGCCTCTCCATATAATCATTCCCATCCAGCCCAAAATCCTGGCACGACGCCAGCTTGCACTTCACCCGGCAGCCAGCGAACAGCCCGCTATTATAGGATGCCTCCAGTCTGCGTCCAGTGCGGTCGGGCGCGAGTGTCTATTTCGGAAGATTTAGGCTGAATTCCGACGACTCGCAGTCTCTCGACGTCCCAGTGTCGCCCATCCCAATCAATCCCAGGAGGCCATGGGGCATGGTAATGAAATGGGAAGCCTGGTAATTACGCGGTAGTGAGTAATTATCAGGTTGTTTCACAAGCACTTTAAAGTCCCGACGCACCATTTTATCAGTGTGTGACAGCGGGATGGCCTTTTTCATGAAGGGACCCCCTATCAGAGGCGAGAGTCCACACGTTGCCACCTGCAGGGGGCAGTGTCTTCATATGCACCGACCACCTCCACCCTAATCTGGCATCTCAGATGGTATTTATGCAGGGTTATGGGCACACATGGGCCCTGTAACCCACCGCTAATCCTATAGTGTGAATTCACAACCTCGTAACCACAAGTTTGAGATCCGAAAGGCAACCCGACAGCATCTGACAAGCATGTGAAGGCCTATCCCACAAGCCTCCTCAAGCACTGACAGATGAACGGGGCCGCTGATAGCCCTGACAAGAGCAATTTTCACCAACGGTAGTTTAAAACATACGAGGGGAATAGAGAGACGGCATAGCGCTGGTATAATTACAGGGAGGGGAAACGAAGAGGAAAATCTATCACTCGGACATCGTTTAACAACTAAGATGGATCTCTCTGTCTGTGATCATCCGACTGGCCTCCCCGGAGGCGGCATGACTGTAAGCGGCCCTGAATTGCAAACTCTATGTGAAACTCTGTGTGTGAGAAAGCGATGTCGTCCCCCCTTCTCGGCGCTCGCTCAAGTGTGCGTCTCTGGAGAGCATGTCTGCGCGTTTATTTGGCTTAATTACTATGCTGCATTCACAGGGGGAGTGAGAATGAATGACACTTCACTTAACGACTATCCTCTCCTGGCCAACTACTGTCTGCCCACCGCCTTCATTAAAACAGCCGCTCTCTTCCCTTCCCGCTCCCTCTTTGCCACTCTTCCTCCATCCTTTCCTCTCTTCCTCTCTCTCGTTTTAACACTCAGACACTGTGTGGGTGTGAACAGCGATCTGTCATACTGCAGAGCATCAAAAGAGCCATCAAGCACCTGTGGACTATGTCTCTCTGTTACACACACACACACAGAGACACACACAGCTCTATCACCATGGCCAGGTGTCTAATTATCTAAGCCTCCCTCCATTCTCACACATCTTTCTGGCCAGAAACACAGACGACACATTTTCTTTCCAACACACACCACTTTACAAATCTTTGTTAATGATAATTTCAACATTTCCTAACACATTATTAAAATCAAAAGTTGTATTTGTTAACATTAGTTAATGCACAGTGAAGTAACATGAACATAAAATGAACATCTATATTTGTATAACCTAACATTAGTAATTAACAAATGTATTACTCATGGTTAGTTCATGTTAGTTCATACATTATTATAAAATATTAACCTTTTATTTTTACTCAGGATTTCAGGACGCCAGAATGAAATACCTCGCACGGTCTCCAAACCAGGCATAAAGCGATCGTTTTATCGTTTTGTCCGTAGCTAACGGCAAACGACAGGACATTAGTCACGGATTTCTGTAGCGTCGCACTGGGTAGCTGCCCTGCCCATATAAAAATAAAAAAAACCTGGTCCACAAGTGTTCATTAAACATCAATTATCATCAATTGTCACAGAATTTTCATGATCATTGGAAATGTCTGGTTAGGATGCAGCATAACGGAATTCAGGGGTAAAAGACCATTTTGACTTTCCAAATTTATTTTATGTATGCTAATGTCTAAGCTGTGCAGCCTCTAGGTTGTTTTGAATGCATATGTCAATCAAACTAAATCCAAATCCATTACGACATATAAAAAACTCTAACATGAATCAGAGAAAACATAGCCATAAAGTGGACAGGTGGCATAAGTTTGGAAAGCATTGTGGTGACGCAATGTGAGACTGTTTTCCCACAATGCTTTGGGCCATCCAAGCACAACAGTATTAACTCAAAGAAGCATGTGATTGATCACAGGTGGACTTGCATATTTTTTACATTAAAGTCTCCTTTCCTCTTAAAGTTAAACAGCAGATGCTCATGGTCAGAGCAACAATTGGTTTCTTAAACACTCTCTCTCTTCATTCTGCATGCTCTCTCTTTCTAAACAACACATTCTCAGACAAAAATAAATCGTCTTTCTCTGTAAAAAAAAAAAAAAGAGAGGGCATTAAACGGACCCTGGTGGGGTAAACCCATGCCACACACAGACAGACCTTACATTTGACACACCAGAAGCACAGATTCACTGACAGAACAGAAGGCTATATTTACCAAATGAGGGAGAGAGATCACCGCCACACATTGATGCGTATACTTTTGGGTCATGTTCCTGAACAAAGAACCACAGCAGACCCGCTAAGCTTACATTAAAAAGGGAAACAGCCCAAAATATGCCAAATATGTTGCCGCTTATTTCCGTGAGAGATGAAAGCTCTGGGTTACAAAGAGGCTGCTATAGTCTGGATCTCTCCGCTGTCTCCTATAAAATAGCACAGCCTGGAGAATAACATGTTTGCTGTTACCACCATTCACGCATAGCGGCCAGCATCACCAGAGTCTTCAAATTCAACACATAAGAGTACAGTAAGAGAGAATCGTGCTTCAAAATATGCATTGTGTGCGAGTATGAGTATGCATGCTTGCTGGAGTGTGTCCAAATGCCAATACAAGAATGAAGATCAGGACAAAGCTACGTAAACGCATTCGTGACACATTTGTGGCATGTGCTTATTAACACCAAATAATGTTCCTCCTTTTCTTTTAAAAAGCCAAAAATCTGGGTTACAATGAGCAACTTACAATAGAAACGGGGCCAATTCATAAGCAATAAAAACCCAGTTTTAATAGTATAGCCACTAAACATAAACAATGCATGTTAACATGATTTCAGTTAAAAAAAAAAAAAAAAAAAACACTTAGTCGTTTTTTTTTTTCTGGGTAGTTGCATTTAATTTCACAACTTTGTTGCCATGACGATAGAATGCAATAAATCCTAAAATGACTTTAACAGCTTTACAATTCAAATAATAGAGGAGAATTAATGTAAGTGCTTTTATAAAATTAGAAGCGTTACATTATTGCTTTAAAACCTTCCAAAAATTGGCCTCATACATGTATAGTACATTGTACTTCACTGTAACCTTGGTTTATTCTTTTTCTTTTTTTTTTTTGCTTTAAAGAAAACAAGGAGTAGGTCAAAATAATGTTTTAGTGCTAATCTACATACTGCCGACTGAGTTTAACTTGTACTGAACCCACAATATTTCTTTAAAGGATAGCTGTAAAATCAATTTGCAGGCAAGATAAATTAGATTTCTGGCCACAACTGCAGAGTCATTACCCACGATACCTCATTCAGAGTTCACAAACCATAAGACAGGGTACCAGTGCAGAGTTTAGAGCTATATAGAACACTGGAAAAAATTATGTAGAAGAGCCAATACATGCAGAAACACCACATGGAAACAATCTGTCAGTGCAAAATTTGAATATATCATTATGCAAGAAAATGAGAGAGAAACTAGAAAAGGGAATTAGACAACAGTGACAGTGAAGAAAGTCAAATAATAATAATTAAAATATATATATTTACATATATAAATAACAAAAATAATCAAGTTTGAGAGTACACATACTGTAGGTATAAGATGGGTAGTAAGAATTCGAAAGGTAATAAAGCTTGTGAGCATTACGATATGGTGATGGGTCTGGTTGCAAAACTTACCCTTGTAAGAGAGCTTGAGTCTGGGCACATTGTCTTTGGTGTGCTGGGGTGCAACTCTTCCAGGTAAAGCCACCCCACACAACAGCAGAAAAATCCCAACTAGGTAATCCATGGTGCTGGAGCGCTGGCCTCCAGCCCAGGGGGGCTTGCAGCCCACAGTGCCCAGAGCAAAGGGCTTCCCTCTGGGATAGCCGAGATCTTCCGAGTCCCTCCTTACTTCAAAAGATCCAGCGCCTGGAGCTTCTCCCCAAGGAGGCAATCCGAAATCAGATCCCAAGCGAGACAGGAGACGGGGGTTCACATGGCTCCATGTGGGGGGCGTTTCACCGGTCGTGGGGGTAAAGGTGTACTCCTCTGGGATGCGTTCTCGGACTGGTGGGGAGGACCGCAGAGAGGGATTCTGTGTTTGTGAGAGAGGTAGAGTTTCAGAAGGGGATCCGGCAGACCCTCTCTCTCTCCGCTCTGGCTTCGCGCACACACACTCTCACACACACTCTCACAGACTGCTTCTGCTTGTGTCCACTGCTCAGCCTGAATGAGAAGGAGAGGGAGAGAGAGAAGTACACCATCCACCGGAGCGCAGGAGAGGGAGGGCGAGCAGCTGAAGGGGGAGGAGGGGGTTGAACGAGGGAGCGGAGCTGAAAGGAGAGGTATGCGAAAGACTCTTCTGCAAAGGTTTGCTTGCTCTGTCTGTGTCCTTCTTTTCTGCATTGCTTATACGCTGCACCTTCAATGCATTGTCTTCCCAGCTGCTCTCTCCTATTTGGCTTTCTGACAGACCTTCACATTTTAGCACATTCCTAGCCTCTAAAATATTTCTGTCTGGTCTGCAATACTAATACAATAGAGTGTTAAAAATGAAAAATAAAGGAAATATCTAGATTACAAAATCGAGAAATGAATGAATAAATAAATCCTCTGCTATTTCAAGTTGTTTTCTCGTTTTTGGCCACAAACCATCTTCAGCCTTTCTACTAAAATATAAGGGCGAGTAAATCAGACGTAATGGTAATCCTGAACACAAATCAGAAAGTGAAACACCGAGCCAGTCTAGCTAGACTAACCTGCATTCTTCTCTCAGTCACTCTCTGCTTGTTGCAACAAAGCCTCCGATAGACAGAAGTGTTAATGTGAGATTTTTCACCCCTGAGTGCTAAAGACAAAAGTGCCTCACAAACACCAGCTGAGTGTGTGAAGGTATTTAACAACCTTGCAAATGTGCAAAAAAAAAAGCACATATCTCTCAATGCCTTTAACATGTCTGTGTGTAAGTGTTTCCTGCTTTCACGAGCGGGATGCCAATATCTCATCACCTTTATTATATCAAACATGCTCTTTAGGTGTTTACACCATGGACTTGTGGGGATGATGGACAGACCCTACAACCTCCACACATCCTTATATCAGAAGGCTAAAACAAACACCTGTAGCCTGGTCTCCATCAACCCACAGCAGAGCCCGCATCCCAGGTGGATCCACTGGCATGTGGAGGTCTTCCTCTGGTCGTCGTACTCTCGTACACAGCTACGTGAAGGGGATTTGTCAGGGCGCTTTGACTAATGATGTCTTAATGAATTGCGACTCGCAGTGCACTAAAATGAGATACCTCATTGACAACTAGTTTCCAGAAGCCTGTCAGTAGCAAAGTGGCAAATATAGCCTCTGAAACATGAGGTCCACAGAGGAGCGGCCTCCTCGAAACATCCTGTCAGTCAGAGAGGCTTTGATAAAAATGGCATTTGTGTTGGGATATATACATTTGTACAGTGTTCCTGTAATCATTGGGGCAAATGCAATAGGTCTTTGACACCTGTTGGTGTGGAAATGATTTGTGCAATCTACTACAAATGTAAATAATTATCTATCTATCACTTACGAATAGGCCTTTAGGCAAATGTTTACATTGCTGGAGTGTACAGTATGTGCAAGACCACACATCTATATAAGTTATTTAATGGCAGTGGTTAGCAACCAACAGATTGAAGCTCAAGAGTAGACTGCGTATGGCCGTTTGGCCGTAAGCTAGAATTTTATTTTGCAACGTTTTAGAAATGAACATTTTTTTTTTTTTATACAAACTCATCGTTTTGCTTCAGAATGCCTTTATTAACCCACAGAAGCTGTTTAGAGGTTGTTTTTTTTTTTTTTTTAGGATGAATGGATGCACGTTGTTGGGCTTCAATCTGTTGGTTGCAATCCACTGCCATTATAAAACTTGGAAGAGCCAGGTTGTTCATTTTAAAATTAACTACTCCTTTAAGGATGATATGAGCGATGGTTGGTGACTACATTTTTTTTGTCTGAAAAAATATAAAATATCCCAAAATCTTAGAAACACAGTTAATTTACTTCAGAAGGATCAACATTATCAACTAGGATCATCAAATACCACATAATGTTTTTTTTAATTGATTAATTATTAAATTATTAAATCAAAATTATTAATTGAGATTTCAATATAAATACATTCTATAAATATTCAAGATTTAAAAGTTTGATATTATATTTAAAAAGTCATGTTAAATGTCTTTTTTTTTTTGTTAAAATGTATTCGCTTTAAGTATGTGAACACTTCTTTACCTTCACTCTCTCATTCAACTAGCCATTCCCTTCCTGGATTTTGTTCTTTAGAGGTCATTGTCATGACTATTACGATAATTGCCGGCCACGTTCAAGGTTCCCCTCTGCCGGAAGGAACTTCCTGTTTGAAAGGTCACACTTCCTGTCTGAGTAACACACAGCTCTGACATCTCTCCAAACCATGTACACCAAGTCAGCAGATATTACTAAACCACACGCACTTACCCTCCTGAAGGACTTTTGGGGTAGGTGAGTGGAGGAGAAGAGGGATGGATGGAAAAAGAAAGAGAGGAGAGGTGCAATATTTGCGTGGCATAAGACGTCAGTCTCCACTCTACCCACATCCTTCACTCGCAGTGATGACAGATCAGACGCCTTGGTCTGCTCAATCAACACATGGCCCAGTGAAAGAGAGAGAACGAGAAAAAAGAAAAAAAAATCACATCTGCTCAAGAACAACAAGCCGTACACACAGAACTGAATTTTGCGTAGTGAACAGCACAAGTATAGATAGATAGATAGATAGATAGATAGATAGATAGATAGATAGATAGATAGATAGATAGATAGATAGATAGATAGATAGATAGACAGATAGACAGATATATATATAGATAGATAGATAGATAGATAGATAGATAGATAGATAGATAGATAGATAGATAGATAGATAGATAGATAGATAGATAGATAGATAGATAGATAGATAGATAGAGGCAATGACAGCTATAAAGTGGAAATGCCAAAGCAGAGAGGGCCAAAAACAAGCCTCTCTCTCTCTCTCTCTCTCTCTCTCTCTCTCTCTCTCTCAAGAGAGTATGCAAGTAAACCTAGGGCTTTATCACACTCCGAAAAGAAAGGGAGCTGAGAACGTAATCACTTTACCAGAGATTCCAGCTGGGACAGCAAAGCCCCCTGGAACATGTACTCTATTACTTGATGTAATAGAGAGGTGTTACACCGGCAGTGGAGACAGGAGGTGATGAGAGAGAGCGAACGCTGATGATGTTGTGGGTTAACTCTGACTTTTTAACATTTTTTATAATAGAGGAAAAAAGGCACAAGCAACCTCTTTTATGCTTGAAATATATTAAAAACCTTTTCTACTTGTTTCAGCACTGTGAGCTTCATGACGGAGCACGCCGATGCTGCACTGAATTTGTCAGTTTTCCTCAGAACTTAAGGGCTACTCATTTAGTACCTCCTGTCCACTTCCATTTCGGATAAGGGTCTTTCCTATGCTTCATCGGAGGTGCGGGGGTCAGAGGTCAGCCTTCATTTCACAAAAGAGGTCAAAGTTCGAGAACAAGCGACAGAAGTTTCATAATCTACCGTTACACCCTCCACATGCCCCCACCTTGACACCCTGCCCCCCATGAAAGCTTTTGATATTAAATCTTTTTCTTTGTAAACATAATTTAAATAAACAGTGACAAAACCACATGATGATGTATGAGTGAAATGGCACCCTCATACAAACATAAAAGAGAGTCAGGGTTGAGAAACCAGGCTGATTTTTATATTTTTTTATCAGTAATTTGTTCCCGTCTATCACAGTGGAGGAAGCATCCCGCAGCGTCTTCGCCACAGATGCATCCGTTCCAGCGGTGCATCAACGGGGTCTTCGAATTTCAGAAGTGATTTACAAAGCAGAACAGAGGAAGAAAGAGGGAAAAAAAACTTTCATCTGATTCATAAAGTCTGACAGTGTCTGGACTTGTCTTACAGGTGATGTAATGTGAGTGGCAGACAGCAGGATGAGGTGGAGATATATCACCGTGTAGTTTGGCATGGGACAATCTCAAGTTAAAACGAGAGCTAATGGAAGGACTTTGTGCACCTGGATCTCATTCACTGTAGATTTTTGGATTTGTCAGCTAACCAAGTATACTAAATGTCTCATGCTAAAAAAGAGAAAGGGTAGTTTGAAAAAAATACAATAAAGTACTGTGGTTGTACCATGATGTCTGGGATCAGATGGTAATACCATGGTACTTTAGTGAAATCACCATGGGACTGAATGCTTTTGATCTATGTTGAATCTTCAGTGCCATTTTGAGCATCAAAAACTACCAGCGAAATCTGATTCATCAATTAATGATTCTTCTGAACCAGTTATTTCAGTAACTCAAAAAAATATAGTGCAAACAGCGTAGGCTGATTCTTGAACAAATGAGTCATAAGAATCAGATCTTTTTAGTAAATCATTCCCAAATGAATGACTCTTATGAACCGATTCTTTTTAGTGAATCAAAAACACAGCATAAAAAGTGTAGTCTGATTCCTGAGTGAATTACTCTTACGAACCAGTTCTTTTTAGTGAATCAAAAACATACTGTACAACCAAGAGTCTGATTCCTAAACAAATTAATTTTATGGTTCTTTTTAGTCAAACAGAATCAGAGCAGCAAATATAGTCTGAACAAACAATTGTTTTAATGCATAATAGTTTGAAAAGATGTCTAATGAATCTTTCACTGAGAACCGAATACTTTAGACTGGTTCCTGAATCAACATCTGATTCACTTACTG